TGAGCTGGGAGCCACTCAGTGCTCTCCCATGTGCCTGAGGACAAACCCCTGCCTTGTTCCCTGACCTTTACTTCCCGTCTCCCCTCCCAGTACGCCCCTTTCCTGCCACCTAAGCCTTTTAGCTGCTCCCTCACAGATTCCCCTCTCCTCCTTCCTTCTCTGCTGTCCAGTGTCTGCTGACACTCCTTCCTGCCTGTGCCTGGACAGACTCACGTCTTAACGGTGCCGCCCGCAAGGCTCCGGTCTCCTCTGCGAGCTTTGTTGGAACACATGCTTTGTGCTGAGCACAGGGCAGAAGACTTTCACTCAGAATCTCTGCATTCAGGGAACTTAGTGGTCATTTAACTGGGCCACCCCTTCTTTTATTTTTTGTGATGCTGGGGATGGAGCCGGGGGTCTCGTGCACCCTGGGCAAGCACTGTGCCACCTGGAGCTGCCCCTTCTGAGGTTGACTGCCCCCTCTGCAGTGGAAAATCACTACAGGCGGAGGATCTGTGGTCAGATGAGCCTGTGCTGTTTCCCTCTGGTGAATTTTGAACACATGACCACATGGAAGGCTCTGGAAAGTTCCACACCATGGAAACCTGTTTTCTTTGAGTAGGACTCCTTGTAATGGAGACTGTCCATCTCAGCCTGTTTGTGAGAGCTCTCTTGACTTTCCGGGTCCGGATCTGGTCAGCTGTTTTAAAGAAAAGATCCTCTTTGCACCTCGTGGAAATGGGTCTCATTTCCACGATCAGAGCTCCGTTCTGGCTGCCTCTGGGCCCCTGGGCAACGTCCAAAGACAGCTCTTTTTCTTCCTGGAGCTGAAGACCCCTGGTCCCTTCTTCCTCTGTCCTTGCACGGGGTCTTAGGCCTTCCCACCTTCTTGGGAGCCTCCACTGACCAGCCCCAGCTTCCCTGGAGTGTGGGGTCTGCATGGGGTGGAGCAGGGCATCAAGGGGTGGGTGGGAGTAGGTGAAATTAATGTTCAGGTGGACTTGGCCATTTCCACAGGAATCGTCTTTCTAGTGCATCTGGAATATTCTATTAGATCTATCATTCTTGTTAGTTAGTTTGTTTGGGACTTTTCCTTCTTACCATAATGAGTATGTGGCCTCCAGGGGTGTGGTCACACACGCCACTGAGCTCCCTCAAGCTCTGTGCTTCTGAAGTTGGCTTGGGGTCTTAGTTTCGGGATCTTGATCTTTTTTTTTTTTTTTTAATAAGCTCCTTCATTTATTGCCACATGATTTTTTAAATTTATTTTTTAGTTATTGGTGGACACAATGTCTTTATATTTATATTTATGTGGTGCTGAGGATCGAACCCAGTGCCTTACGCATGCTAGGTAGGCGCTCTACATCTGAGCCACAATCCCAGCCCCCTTGATATTTTTTAATTGAAAAAGTTTTTTAATTGTGGTAAGATGTGTGTGTGTGTGTAAAGTAAAATGTACTTTTAAAAAAATTTTTTTTCTGGTGCATGGAACCCCAAGGCCTTGTGCATGCTAGACAAATGCTTAAGCCCTGAGCTACAGGACAGCCCCAGCCCCCAAACTGACCACTTTTAAATATGCAGTTTAGTGACACTAAGTACATTCACCATCGTCCGGTCCCTGAACTTTTTCTTTTTCTTTCTCTTTTCCCCTCCTTCCCTCCTTCCTTCCTTTCTTTTTATGGTACTAGGGAGTGAACCTAGGGGCACATTCCCAGCCCTTTTTTTTTTTGGTTTTGGGACGGGGTTTTGCCACCTTTCTGGGTGGCTCAATCACAGAGGGTCCACCTGACCGATGGGGAATCTGCCCTGTGGGTCTCCCGCCCAGGGCCTGACAGAGGGCCTTGCTCACCTGAGCAGCAACTCCAGTTGACGATGGTTTTCTGTTGGGCCCGTTTGACCACCAGCTTTCAAAGGTGCATGAGCACATGGCCCAGCAGTTGTACTGAGATGTCTACCCAAAGAAACCAAGAGGGAGTTCCACACAAACACGTGTGTACCAGTGTTCAAAGCAGCCAAAAAGTGGAAGTGGCCCAAGTGTCGTCACCTGATGAACGGATGGACCAAGTGTGGCGTGTGTCTGCAAGTGGAACCTTTTTTGGCAACAGAAAGGAATAAAGTCGATGGATGAACGCTGGATAAATGAGTGAACCTTGAAAACGTTAGTGAAGGGAAAGAAGCCAGACAGGAAAACTATATATTGTGTGAGTCCATTTATGAGAAATTTCTAGGTGTCAAATCCACAGAGACAGAAATGCTAGTAATTGCTAAAGGACCAGGGAGAGAGAAGCAGGGGGAATGACTGCTAATGGCTATGGATTGTTTTTTAGGGTGATGAAAATATTCTGGAAGTAGATGGTAATGATGGTTGCACAGAGTTGTGAATATACTAAGAGCCACTGAACGGGCTGGGGGCAGTGGCCACACCTATTATCCCAGAAAATTGGGAGGCTGAGGAAGGAGGATCCCAAGTTAGAGGCTAGTCTCATCAAGAATGCAGCTCAGTGACAGAGCATGGCCAGGTTCAATTTCCAGAAATACAAAAAAAGTACCACTGAACTGTTCAATTTATAGGAATAGATAGTATAATGTGTGAATTATGTCTCAATTAAGCTGGGGTTTTGTTTGTTTGTTTGGTACCATGGATTGAACCCAGGGGCACTTAATCACTGAACCACATCCCCAGCCATTTTTATATATTTTATTTCAAGACAGGGTCTCACTGAGTTGCTTAGGGCCTCACTAAATTGCTTAGGGCCTCACTAAATTGCTGAGGCTGGCCTTAAACTGACGATCATCCTGCCTCAGCCTCTCAAGCCACTGGGATTACAGGCATGTGCCACCTTGCCTGGCTCATTGCTTCCATTTTAAAGTACTCACAATCCATCTTTGTGTGTGTGTGTGTGTGTGCTGGGAATTAAACCCAGGGGCACCTTACCACTGAGCTACATCTATAGCCATTTTTATTTTTTATTTTGAGACAGGGTCTGGCAAAGCTGCTGAGGCTGGCCTGGAACTTGAGATCCTCCTGCCTCAGCCTCCCCAGTTGCTGGGAATAGTCCATTCTTTGATTCTACTACTAGATCCTGGGCTGATCCATTTGTGATGTGTAGATTCTACCTGGCAGCCTGGAGGTAGCTTGCTCATTTCCAGATGTGGAACACCTGTCTTCAGGGCTGCTCAGAGGTCACCAGCATTCACTCAGGGATCTCCTCTGTGACCTTTAGCACCTTATCAAATAACTCTTCCAACAAGGAGGCTGCACCCAGAGGGTGGGGAGGACTTGCATAAAACATGCCCAGCAGAGGAGGTGGTGAGTGCTGGGGCCAGACAAGGACAGACAGTGGGTGCTGTTGACAGCAGAGGCAGAAGTGGGAGGCCCTGGGCTCTGGGGAGCAAGAAGGCCACAGAGCAGAGCAGGGCGGGCTGGAGGGTGGGAGGAGAGGCATGAACCAGCCACAGTGGCCGGCATGGAGCACCGTGGGGACTCCTGCGCCTCCCCCTGGCTGGCCTGGCTGTGTGGGTCCTAGAAATGCCACAGCCCTCAGGGCCCAATTTCCAGAGGCCCACGGCTGCATTTCTTGGTGGGCGTCGGTGGTGGTTCTCGACAGCAGCGGGTTTGTGTTCCTGGGGGTGGGTGTATGAAGAGGTGGGTAGTGAGGAAGGCTGGTTTGCTTATGATTAGTTTAGTTTGAAAATTATGGTGAGATGTGTGGAACGGATTTTCCATTTTAACCATCTGAGTGCACAGCTCAGGAGTGTTAAGTGCGTTCCCGCTGTGAGGCCAGCGTCACTGCCCACTGCCCACTGTCCGCTCTTCCTCAGCCCATGCTGAACCTCTGCCCATCATCACACAGGAGCCCCCACCTCCCCCAGCTCGGCCCGCATCCGGGTCCCTCTGTAGTGGACCCCACCGTGCGTGTCCTCTTGTGCTGGCTGACTTCATCTAGCATTACGTCCCTGAGGGTCCTCCCTATGGTGGCATGTGCCAGGGTTTCCTTTCCGTGGGTCATTCCCACCGCTTGGCTGTGGAGACCTGATTGGCTCTTTAAAGCAGGGCATTCAGACCTGAGCAGCAAGAGGCCTCTTGGTATCAAAAATATGAAGGCCCTCAAGGGAGGGGAGCCAGGGGGTCTGCAGGAAGCCCCGTGAGGCCAGATGTGTGGAGAAGGGACAGGGCTGGGCTGGGCAGAGGCGGGGGAGGCTGAGCTGAGCTGTCTGGAGATGCCTCCCCACCCCCTCACCTCATGAGGCTGGTCCCTGGAGGGGGCTGGGGACTGGTGGGTCAGCCAACGGAGGTTCTGTGAAAGGAGAGTTGATCACACAGGTGTGACCATTTAGACCTGGTGAGTGACTCCGAGGGCAAAGCCAGAAACCTAAGCCAGGCCCAGGCCCAATTCACAGCCACGCAGAGTGGGAAACAGCTTCCGGAGACACAGGACAGGGCCCAAGGGAATGGGGGCTGTGGGAACTGGGTGTGCAGGGATGTGGGGATGGTGCCCAGGAGGAGGTTCCATCCTGTGAGCGTAGAGGGTGCCGTGGGCACCCGTGTGCCGCTCCCCCAGCGTGAGGCGCCCATGGTGCTGATGGTCTGAACCCGGGAAAGTCAAGTCAACGAGGCACGTGTTCATCCTGGGGAAACACGTGGCCTGGAGGAGATGAGAGACGTGACACTAATGTGTACCGCCGAGTCCACTCTTAAGTCCTAAGGTGTCTTGCTCAGAGAGGTCCCTTCTGAGGAAGGGACCTGGACCCGAGTCCACTCTTAAGTCCTAAGGTGTCTTGCTCAGAGAGGTCCCTTCTGAGGAAGGGACCTGGACACCGAGTGGGAGATACTTGAGTCGTTTTTCAGTAAGTGAGGGCTGGGGATGAGGACACCTGCCTAGCAGGTAAAGAGGCCGTGGGTTCCATCCCAGCAACACGCACAAGAAGAAACAAACTCATAAATGAGGCCAAAGGATTACGTGTCTGGGAGACTAACAAGTGTCCCTTCTTCCTGACCGTGCCTTGCTGCGACCCTGCAGGTATGATGCTGGGCGTGACGGCTTCATCGACCTGATGGAACTGAAGCTGATGATGGAGAAGCTGGGGGCCCCCCAGACCCACCTGGGCCTGAAGAGCATGATCAAGGAGGTGGACGAGGACTTCGACGGCAAGCTCAGTTTCCGGGAGGTATCTGCATCCTGTTGTTCCTGGGCCCTGGGGCGGGACCCCCAGTTTACAGCCCTCTGGGGTACAAACGGGTCTGCCTCTTGAGAGTGCTGTTTGGAAATTTAACCTGCAATGCTGCTTTTTAAACTATGCTCAAGGGGCGGGTGTTGCTCAGTGGTAGAACCTGGGCTTAGAATGTCTGAGCCCTGGGTTCCCTCCCCAGCACCCGCCTCCTCCGCTTTAGGGAGGTGTTGAGCCGAAGTGCTGGTCTGGGAAAATGCTCAGGAAACAGACGGAAAATCACCTCACTTGCGTAAAGTGGTAAGAAATCTAGAAGGATGTTTCACCAAAATATCCGTAGTGGATATTTATAGGCACAAAGTTTTGGTGTGTTTTTATTAAATGAGGAATAGAGTGACCATTTCCCACCCTAGACAGACAGGAGCTGTATACTCTGTACTGTGGGCACTGTGCTTGGTCTTCCTCTGTCTCCTGACATGCAGCTAAACCCTCGAAATCTCCATGCTAATGAGATGGCAGCAGGCCACCCCTAGGTAGATTCAGGATGGGGCTGGTCACAGGAAGGACCAAGAGCAACCTCTTGGGAAAGCAGACCATCTGAAGGTTAAATGATCACCAGCGGCCAGTGATTGAATCCGTCGTGTCTATGTACAGAATTTCCATGAGACTGAAAAGGTCTGAGTTGGGGGATTCTGAGTAACTGAGAGGAAACTCCTGAGGGGCGGTGAGGTGCCAGAGGCCTGTCCCCGGGACTGCATCTGAAGGTGAAAGGGGCAGTCTTGGGGACTGAGCCCTTGACTGTGGGCTCTGATGCCTTCGCGGGCAGATAGTGTTGGAACTGAATCAGATTCGAGGTCGCCCAGCTGGTGTCTGCTGGCGGCTCTGCCCCTAGAGAATCGCTTGCTTGCTGGTGCAGGGAGACCCCGCATACCTGGGGTCAGAAGTGCTGTGTGAGGGAGAGTAGGAAAGCCACGCTGGCTCTGTACCCGTGTCATTAAAGTACATCACAGAAAGCGTGAGTTGGCATAACCCTCGAGATGGCCTCAGCCAGCTTTCTCATGTCAGATGGAAAGAAGGCCCAGCCCGCGGTCAGGCCCCTGTGCAGGGCTGAGTGGGGCTGCCCAGCCTGCCCTTGGCACCCATGGCTGATCTTCACAGCCCCGTGGGGTATCACTCAAGCCCCCTGCTGGGCATGGGCTCTCTCTACCCGGGTTCCTCTGGGGTATAGAGGTAGAAGTGTCTTGGTGAAGCTTGAGGAGGCTCTGGGGAAAGAGCCTCTGCTTTGGTCCCCAAAATGGTGACCTCTGGAACAACACATCAGGGGCATGCTTAGGGTCTGTGCAGTCACCAGCTGAACTAAGACCCAACTTGCGGGTCCCATTTTGCTCAGAGGCTGCCCCCATCTGCTCCTCTTTAGTCTAAGACACCTGGCTCGCCTTGGATGAGCTGCGGTTTGGGCCACTTCCCGAGGCTGTGGACATCCGAGGCCTGGAAACCTCCAGAGGGCCTGTCAGCTCTCAGCCCCCTCCCAGAGCTCCAGTGGCATTGGCTTTAATCCTGGTCAGTTCCGGGGGACCATGGGGGCCCTGCTGTGGTCCCGTGGGTGGCCATTGTCCCTGGAGTAGGGGACACGCCAGCCCTCAGGCCTCACGGCCCGGCCTCCTGCTGAGTCATTTCACCACTGGTCTCTGCCTGGGCTGGGAACACTGGAGCCACACTGTGCGCAGTGAGAGGAGCCCCGGCTGTGGCCCCATCTTGGTCTGCCACATGGGGCTGGGTCACTTGAGCAAGTCGTCGTCGTTCTTCTTGTACCTGGGATTGAACCCAGGGGTACTTCACCATGGAGACCCGTCCCCAGGCCCTTTAGTTTTTATTTTGAGACAGGGTCTCACTAAGTTGCCCTGGCTGTCCTTGAACTTGTGATCTTCCTGCCTCATCCTCCCGGTTTCTGGGATTACCAGGTGGGTGCCACCGTGCAGGCCAAGGTCTTTTATGTTTGAGCCTCAGTGACAAGAACTGATTTTCCTTCTGTGTCATCGGCCAGCCAGGAAGTGAAGCCTCACCAGACACTGCATTCCCGTCACCCCCCCCCCGTGGTGGATGTCCCGCCTCCAGCACTACAGGAAAATAAACTTCTATTGTTTATGACACCCAATCTGTGGTGTTTTGTTAGAGCAGCCTAAGCAGATGAAAACGGGGGTCCCTGGCTGCCCTAGCGGAGCTGGGTGAGCCACCTGCCCAGTCATGGTTGATGGAATCATGACGGACCTCTGGCCACCCTAGTCCAGTCAAATTCTCTCTCCTCTCCTAGACTTTTGCTTCAAGATGACTCTGCCGGTGGCTGCTCCCACTCAAAGTAGGGTGGCCACAGCCTGCCACGTGGACCAAACAGGCCAGATGGAGAGGGAATGTTGTCCCTGGTCAGAGTTGTGCTGCTCTCAGTCTCAGGCCTCCTCTGGGCCGGTACCTGTTGCCCCTGGATTCCTGAGACATCCTCATGTAACAAATACCTCTTTTTGCTTAAGCCGACAAGTTTATTTCTGTGAGTTTCTATCTCAGAGCTCTAACTAATATAGGGGTAGCAATTGTGTCACCTGTCAGAGCTGCAAGGGTGAACAGTCCCCACATCTACCAGAGGCATCAGGCTGTGGCTGGGGGGCCTCGGGCTTTGTGAGCTCTCTCTGGCTCTTTGTTCTGCAGCTCCCCCCTCCGCTTCCTCCTAGTCACAGTCAGGACGTTTTCCAATTCTTGTACACCATGCCAGTCTTTGTGGACTATAAATAGGAAGACAAACGAGGCTGGGCGGTTGGAGAGATTGTCATTCAGGGGCAGTGAGTGATGGTGATAAAGTCGAATGGGAATGTCTGGCGTGCTTCATGGAAGGCTGACATTTTCAGGTTGAACTGGATTTTTTTTTTTTTTTTTTTCTTATTTGGGGTCAGAAGACCCTGGAGTATGATGGGCCACTGTTGGTAATCTGCTGAGATGGCAGAGCCAGGGCCCACGAGCTGGATCCGCCCCAGACCTGAGGCTCAGAGGAAATAGCTTTAGGGAAAAGAGCCGTGAGGAATTCTTTAATGTTTCCAGTTCACAGAGCCCTCCAGAGAACACAAATTCTGTTGCCTGTTCTTCAGATGTGAGAAAACCGAGTCTTGGGGACAGAAGGAAACCCTGAGGTCACTTGGATCGGTGCTGAGCTCAGGGTGCTGCTCCCTCTTTTCTGAGCTGCTTCATGGGGCCAATAAGAATAGCTGATATGGAGAGCTATCTGCTTGTGGAGCTACAGGGGAGAGGGTTCTGTAAACAAAATGATTTAGGTCATAATTTTAGTCAAATTTCTGATGCTATAACAGAATACCTGAAGCTAGTAATCTAGAAAGAAAAAAGGCTTATTTTGACCTACAGATCTAGAAGTCCAGGAGCATAGTGCTGGCATCTGCCAACTTCGGGTGCCACTGAAATTCATGGTGAAAATCACAAGGTCAGGCCATGAGTGGACAAGAAATGGCATGGTGAGAGAGAAAGTAAGAGAGCAGAGGAAGCCAAACCCACTCTATTCCCGCCCAGTCCCAGCAGAAAGGCCTTCATCCCGCTTGATGGCCTAAGCACCTCTTAAAGGCCCACCGCCTCTCAACACTGTTCTAGTGGGTGTTAGTGGGGACAGACTATGGCTGCAGGGTACAGAAGGGCTGGCATTTTACTCCTGCCCACAGCTCACGTTGGCAAACACTGAAGTCTTTTTTGCTTCAGTCTCTTCCCGGAGAGAACTTGGTCATTGCTGTCCCCGCCCTTTTGGCCTTGATCTATTCCTGGGGGCCTGGCCTCCTTGAACAGGCTGGTTTTCTTTGGGCCATGTTCTGGCCCGATCCTCTGCAGCAGACTGAGTCTTTGCCGTCCTCTAGTGAGAGGGTTAGAAGCTGCAGGTGGATGGACGTGGCCTTTCCGTCCATCCAGGCTCGTACTCCTGCCTCAGCCAAGCTCCAAGTCACTGGGCATCGGTTAGTACTGGGGGAGGTCCACAGTGGACTGAGGGCCCTGGAATGAGGAACCTGGGGAGGTGGGTTTTATTTTCAGAGGGGGTCTCAGTATGTTGCCCAGACTGAAATCTTCCCGCCTCAGCCTCCCGAGTGGCCGGGGTGACAGGTGTGTGTCACTGCACCCAGATCAGAGGTTTGTGAGTGAGGCGTTTGGGGCTGTGAGGGAGGGGGAGAACCACTCCGGGGAGCTCACCTCCCCCTAGAGCAAGAGCCTTGGGGTAGAGCCAAGTTGGGCTTTGGAAAGCCTGTCCCACTTATTGGACTTGTCACTGCTTCAGTGATGTCCTTTAACACAGGAAAAAGGTGTGACAAAAGACCTGGGAACCTGAGATTCCCTTGTAGACACATGTATTTTAGGTCTCATCTGAAAACCTGGAGAAATCCTCTTTTGATGATATGGAGTCTATCAGTTTATACCCAAATGGAAAGTAAATAATAGACATTGCATGGTACTTGTTTGTCAGGTAGATTTATAAAAATTATTTAAAAAGAATATAAAGCTAGGCATGGTGGTGCACACCTGTAATCCCAGTGGCTCGGGAGGCTGAGGCAGGAGGACTGAAAGTTCAAAGCCAGCCTCAGCAACTTAGTGAGGCTTTTAGCAACTTAGCAAGACTCTATATCTAAATAAAATATATGGGAAAAAAAGGGGGATGGGGATGTGGCTAAGTGGTTAAGCGCCTCTGCGTTCAATCTACAAAATCACCTCAGGAGAGAATAGGAAAGTGGGGGGGGCCTGCCATTTATGTTTGGTCAGTTTATTTATTTAATAAATTATTTTGTTGAGGCCTTAGGACAAGTTGCATTCAAAGATTAATTCTTTCAGGTCATGTTTTGAATCTGGAGGAAGTAGATGGACTATTCAATAAATGATGTGGGGATTACTAAGTAACCATTTGGAAGAAAATAAAGTTAATAATTACCCTCACAGGATAGATGGAAGAAATTTCAGAGATTAATTATTTACACTTTTTTTTTTTAAGAAGCCATAAAAGTAGTGGACAGAAACATAGGTGATTGTTCATGTAACCTTGGTGGCAAGAAAGGTTTTTCTGAACATAACTCGGGTGAGAGAAAGGAAAACATTTGAAAGAGTTTATTTAAAACTTCTGAAAGTCAAAACTCACTGTACGCACAGTTAAATGGCAAGTGACAGAGCGAAAGTTTTTGAAACATAGCAGGTCTTGTGAAGATCTCTTAGCCAACAGAAAGATAAGCAATCTGATGGAAATGTAGAATACACGCTGGGCATGGTGGCACATGCCTGTGATCCCAGCAACTCAGGAGGCTGAGGCAGGAGGATCACAAGTTCGAGGCCAGCCTCAGCAATTTAGTGAGGCCCTAAGCAACTTAGTGAGACCCTGTCTCAAAATAAAAAATAACATAAAAAGGGCTGGGGATGTGGTTCACTGGTTAAGCACGCCTGAGTTCAATCCCCAGTACCAAAAAAAAAAAAAAATTTAAAAAAAGAAAAAAGAAAAGAAAAAGTGGAACACACAAGTAAAACAGAAGTAGTTAACAGGCTGGGGTTGTGGCTCAGTGGTAGAGCGCTCGCCTAGCATGTGCGAGGCCCTGGGTTCAATCCTCAGCACCACATATAAACAAAGGTATTGTGTGCAACTACAACTAAAAAAAAAAAAACATTTAAAAAAATACTTTAAAAAAAGTAGTTAAGATATATCAAAAATATTATTTTGTTTCAAAATAATATATATAGATCTATTTGATTTTCCTTTTGTAGCTATAAGCTAGGATGTTGCCGATCGCATCGGTAATGCTAAAACTATATTGTGAGTTTCTGAGGGATAAATTCCCAACCATGGCATTGGTGGTTGGGCAAATGAACAGCATTTTATTTGATTATTTTTTTGTGTGTAATTTTGTGTTGGGGATGGAACCCAGATCCTTGTTCATGCTGAGCATGTGCTCTACCCCTGGGCTGTGCTCCAGCCCCCAGCATTTTATTTTTGGCATACATTTTGGGGTGCTGGCCATGGAGCCCCGGCCCTAGCACATGCTGGGCACGCCCTCTACCCCTGAGCTTCACCCCCGCGCCCTGTCTTTTCTTTGGCCATCTGATAAGGAACAAACCAATTCATCACACACCACCTAAACGCCCTTTTCCAGTGCTTGGCAAGAATGGCCTTGGCTGGGGCCCGAGGGATTCTCTGGGTCTCTCAGGGAGGCCGAGGTACAGCAGGCTCCTGTCCTTCTGTCTCCCTCCTGCAGTTCCTGCTCATTTTCCACAAGGCCGCGGCGGGAGAGCTGCAGGAAGACAGCGGGCTGCTGGCGCTGGCCAAGCTCTCCGAGATCGACGTCGCCCTGGAGGGCGTCAGGGGTGCCAAGGACTTCTTTGAAGCCAAGGTACGTTCCTGTTCTTCTCCACGGAGCCAGTGCTCCCTCCTTTACCCCTGTCTCAGGGACAGGCGCTCCCTTGTCCAGTGCCTCGCTCAGGGAAATAACAGCGTGTCCTTGTGCCATTGAAAAGTCAACACAAAACAGAAAACAACCAAAGAGTAAATACGCTGGGTCCTGGTCAGGTTCAACAGACCCGCTGGTGCAGCGCTCCCGGTCAGCGCTCCATAGACACCTGGCAAAGATCTCCACCCAGCCCTGGATGAGTTGGTGCTAAACACATGGGTGGTGGGGTGCGGGCGGGCACAGGGTGGCTTGTCTTGAACGAGTTTTTGCGCGTCCCAGTGGTCCGGACTTGGGGAGGAATGTCCAGGGCTTCCTTCCATTCACAAGTTCACGCAGTCCCTGGGCATTGATGTGCCTCTCCACGTGAGGCTGGCCTCTGCCCTCTTACCTTCATCTCTGCAGAGCACTCCTGCAGAAACAGACGGGAGAGTCCTGCACATCCCGAGCTGAGCAGACCCGGGGTGTGGGGGGAAGGACGCAGCTCCGCAGCCGTGCTGCCCAGGTGCAGATCCTGCCTCTTCTACTGGTTGCCTCTCTGTGCCTCAGTTTCTTTATCTGTACAATGGGGCTGAGGCTGACGAGAGCATTCCTGAGGATTAGATGAGCTCACTTATGAAGTGCTGGGCAAGTGGGCTCCCTGAGAACTCCCTGGGTGATCTGAGCTGTGGGGAATCCCTGTCACTCCAGGCAGGAAATAGCTTCTGGGATCTTATCTAGGGACAAAGTGTCCTTGGTCACATATCCTAGTCTGCTTAGACCCTTTAGCAGGACTCTGTTCTCATTGTTGTTGTTGTTGTTGTTATTATTATTATATTATTATTCAGCGCTGAGAGATGGAACCCAAGGCTTTGCACATGCAAGGCAAATGTTCTATCACTGAGCTACATCCCCATCTCTGTTTAAATTTTATTTTTGAGAAATAGTCTCGCTAAGTTGCCCAGGCTGAGCTCAAACTTGTGATCCTTCTGTCTCAGCCTCCCAATTTGCTAGGTGAAGTCGTATGTCACTGCTCCCCATATATTTTCCCTTCTCCATGTCACTGCTTAGAGATGGATTCTGTTGTCTTTCTGCCACCCCACAAGCTGAATTCCTAGTGCTTTCACGGGACAGGGTCAGGGACAGGCCAACCGCTCGATGTGCCTTGAAGACCAGAATCGTGTGTCCAGTCCTAAGTGGATTGACCCTTCCTTCCTGCCTTCCCTTTGATTCACTGGCCCGTCCCCAGCAAAGCCAGGCACTGCTTTAAGCTCTGAGATACAGCCCCTTCACGAGGACAAAGAGTTTGTCCTCCCCAGGGGGCACGCACAGGCCAGTGAGGGAAGCAGACTCCCCCTGACGGAGCGAGTGGAGAGGAGGGAGGGTCCGTTCTGCTGGCTTGGGTCCTTCGTAATGGAGGCCCACGTGCAGAGCTCTTCTGACACCTTGGGAACAGTCCTGGGGTTGAGACACCAGGATGGTGCATATGGTGCATGTGCTCAGTGCTGTAGGTAAAGTGAGCGTGAGTCCCTGGGAGCCTCTTAAGGGGTACTCAGGACCTATTACAACCCGGCTCCCACCCCTGCTCCAGCCCCTTCCACCCGCTTCAAGTGCTGCCAGGCCCTTTTCACGCCTGGACCTCACTGTCCCTCTGTCTGGAGCCCCACCTCAACATCTCTGCCTAGCAAACTCTGCTCCTTCCAGAACTGCCCTCAGGGTTGGCCCCTCAGGCTGCTCTTCCTGACTCTCCAGGGCAGGCAAGTCCACCCCGCCCTGTGTACCTCTAGTGCACACGGAGCTGTTCGGGCTGCTAATGGTCAGCCGCAGTGAGGACCAGCTGATCTTTCTGTAGAGCAGCTTGGGACTCGCTGTTAACATTCTACCTCTGGGTTTTATCTGTGAGCATTCATGCAAATGCACATAGAATGTCTGGACAAGAATTTCTGTTTGGCATTGTGGATGACAGAGGAAAATTGGAAACAACCAAAATTTCTGTTATCAGAGAAAGAGTCCATTGTGGTGCTGCCACGTGCTTGCACTGTCATGAAAGAATGAGGTGTGACAGCGTCTCTATGTGGACAGATGTCCAAAATAAATTAAGCAAAGCAATGTATGTCATCCATGATTTTGTGAAATATTAAATACAACCTGGAAAATTACATGCAAAACTATTAGTCATGGTTATGTCAGAGGGACTTTTTTTATATTTCTGTAATGTTTTATAATGAGTGCATATTATTTTTATAAGCAGGAGAAAAGATGAAAAGCATAACAATAAATTTTTTCCACTCTTTATGCTTCTATGTCTGCCTCCTCAGCCAGACTCAAAGGCAGCGTGGGCGTGTTATCTTTGTAATTACAGTGCCTGGTGCGTAATAGCTCTCAATAAACGTTGGCTTGAATGACGAATGGAGGGCATCACGGCTTGAATTTGGGAGAGGCCATTTAGGAGCTGACACCGGTGACAGATGTTCTGAGATGAATGGGGATTCACCTTGTAATCGAGGAAGGGAAGGCATTCTGGTGGTGGGAACAGCAAATGTGAGGGTTCCAAGGCACGGAGGCAGGGAGTGTCATGGAGAGGTGTCCCAGAGTGGTGAGGACATGGGATGCGTGAGGGAGCAGGGCTGGCGATGTGTCTGGAGTGGAAGCCGAGATGAAAGAACTGGGCCAGCACTTGCCACCCTTTGGCCGACAGTGGCACATGTGGTAGATGACTGAGGCTGGTGACTCCTGGGCACAAGGGACACACTTGGGGAGCTCTGACCTGCCCCAGGCTGAGGGACACCTGCTGGGAAGGCCTTTCCCCAGCCTCTGAGCATCAGGACCACCTCTGGACGAGTTTCCCAGGCCCAGGAAATGTGTCATTGATCAGCTGTGCAGGCTGGTCCCAGGCACCGCCTGGAGTGGACTGCACAGCTGCAGGCGCCGGAGACCCCGGGGTGTTTAAGCAGGTCCTTGATGCTCCCAGGGGTGGCAGTACAAGAGTGGACTTGCCTGGGAAGAGATTCCACAGATATCTGGAGAAGAATGTAGGTCCGAGGAGGGCCGTGGCCTGGGGCAGGGAGGGGTAACCTGAACCCAGAACTCTAGAACTCTGTGTGTTCATGTCCACCCAGTGGGGGCTGAGACATTGTGGGCCGTGGTGTGAGAGCTGCGGGGAAAGGGACTGAGATTTTAATTCAAGATTGCCTCCCGCCACGGGAGTGTTTGAGGAGAGAAAGTTATAAAATGAGTTTTGGTGTCAGGTCTGAAGTGACTTCAGGCATGCCTCTATTTGATGGGTGTCACATTGGTGCAAATGGCTTTTGATCACATCTTGTTAGACAGAAACTGAATAGAAGGCTACAAGTAAGTCTTTTTTCCCTGGGAACCACGTGCCCACTTGTAAGTATGCTACTAGGAGGATGGGGGTACTGGACATCCAGGGTTGTGCAGTAATTCTCCCATATGTGTCCCTTCCTGACCCCACCATTGGCAAGGGCTAGAATGTCATTGCCCCGTGGGTCCCTCCTGGAGTCAGGAGCAGCGGGGTCACTCTCCACATGCAGGCGAGTTTCTCACAGGAAGAAAGAAGGGAAGAAATGGATACTTCGTATGCATCCAGTGTCACAGACTGCAGGAACCATCTCTTCACAAGTAAAAAGGTGAAACCAAGCATTCAAGGAGATTGACCAACGGTCAGTCATGATGGACGGGGCTGTGGGGGAGGCTCGCATTTCCCCACAGAGAAGAAGAATGAGTGAGTAATCAGAGGTCCAAGGAAACCGTAAAGAAATACTGATTTGGGGGAAGCGAGCTATGTTCAGATTAGTGCTGGGGAGTGGCTCAGGGGTAGAGTGCTTGCCTAGGTTGCATTCCCAGTGCTGAAAAAACAAACAGGAAACAACAAAGAAACACAGATTAAATCAGATGAGGCCCGAACAGAGGTCTTGGGCCCCGCAAATGGGTCAGAAGAGATTTTTGAGGGCCCAGGTTCACACGAGGTCCAGATCACAGTAGGATGAAGAGTGAACGGGAACTGGAGGGAGAGCCCTGCTAGTTGGGCATCTTGTCAAGGAAAGGTCTGGACCCAGGTGGGGAGAGTAGCTTGGGTTCAGGGAAGAACTTTTTGGTTTATTTCATAGCCTGGGGAAGATGTCAGAATGTTCAGGTTAAAGAGAAACAGTTGGGAAGACAAAGACACAGAAGACAAGAACAAAATGGGGTAGCCAGGCATGGTGGTTCATGCCTGTCATCCTGGCACTTGGGAGGCTGAGGCAGGAGGATCTCAAGTTCAAGGCCGCCTCAGCAATTTAGCGAGGCCCTGTCTCAAAATAAAACATAAAAAGGGCTGGAGACGTGGCTCAGTGGTTAAGCACCCCTGGGTTCAATCCCTGGTACCAAAATAGAAAGAAGGAAAAAAGGGGCGGGGGGGTTGCTGGATAACACAAGGACTTAGGGGGTATAGGATCCAGAGAACCGGTGGACTTTTATAGTGGACAGAAGAAATACCTCAAGTGAAGAGATGGCAAGAATTTCCCTCCTCTAACCTGGCCAGGAAGGGTGGGGAGGTTGGGTGACTAACAAGCACAGGGGAGTTGGTGCTGGGTCACACCCTCTGCCAAGTGCTTGAGATTCGTGTTTTGTCTAATGCTGAACAAAGACTTTAGAGGTACGTGTTTGGTCCCATTTTGCAGAGGGAGCTGAAGCTTAGTGGTTTGTCAGTAAATGCCTAGTAGCTGACTCTCCGCACACAATATGCACTTACACATGCGTGTAAGTGTATTATTAATTTTATAAACAATATACAGCACAAAATTCACAAACAATGGATACACACTGCTTTTATTGTCAATTGGGCACAGCCTATTAATTCTCAGAGAATGCAGTCCTTGATTTTTGCTGGACTCTTGTATTTATAGCTATTTTGTGGTTGCAATGCACAAGAGAATATAGTTCCAAAAATGTTGGTTGATATTTTAAGTAAATTTGTAAGAAAACAAATAAAAGGATATATTTTGAAGCTTCATTCCTTAATGAATGGAATATTAGAAGAATATTCTCTCAAATTTTCAGAGCTGTTTGTCATGTAAAGGCAACAGACTCCACAAACTTCCAAGTTTGTGGGCACTTTAAACGTGATTTTCCATTGCTTTAAAACAAGATTGTATAGACAGTCAATGAAACAATAAACCAAGCCCAAAGATGTAGCTTCAGTGGCTCTCTATGGTGTCAACACTCACACCGCAGTTGCTTTCAAGGGAGATTCACGGTAACAATGATACATCACCATCAGTATTTCCATCCTATGGGTACCGGGCTAGGGATGTAGCTCAGCGGTGGAGGGCTTGCCTAGCAGGTGCAAGGCTGTGGGTTTGATCCCCAGCACTGAAACAAAAACAAAACAAAACAACATCACAGAGGTATAGAAGAAATAGGTAACCAAAGGCATAGATAATAGTAAAATGTAAAAATGTAAGCATGACATGGCAACTTTTTTGGGCTCAATTCTCAATTATATATATATATATATATATATATATATATATATATATATAAACTTTTGCTTTTAATATGATTATAGTCTCAAATAATTTAATTTTTTATAATAGCTGTATTTAATACCCAACTCACAAAATTTACGAGAATTGAAACACCATTGGTGTTTGAGCAGGTACAGCCAGCTCCAGAGTGGGCCCCTGGACTCAGGGACATAACGGGAACAGCCCAGGGTCTGGCCTTCCCGTCCTTCCTAAGCACAGGGGGAGGCGAAAGGAGAATAAAGAGAGTGGGAAAGGGGGTGACTGCTAAGGGGAAAGAGATGAGGGAGGAGGGCTGAGCCCTACTGATGACCCAGCCTGAATAGGAAAGCTGGTGTCCCAGTGGGCCCAGGCACTACCTTTGTGAGGCCTCTTAAAAAAAAAAAAAAAAAGCTGGGCACATTGGTGCACACCTGTACACACCAGTAATCCCAACAGCAGGTGGGGGAATCACAAGTTTGAGGCCAGCCTGTGCAACTTAGTGAGATCTTGTATCAAAATAAAAAGGGCTGGGGATGTAGCTCAGTGATAGAGCACCCCCAGTTCCATCCCCAGTACTGCCAATAAATAAATGAATAAAATTATGTATCTTACATATTTCTGTGGTCAAGACACCTTAAAGTTAAAGACACACAAAAGGCGGGGAGAAAGTAACTAAAAATATAACAAGAGTTAATACCTAACAGAGAACTGCACATAGGAAAAAAAAAAAAACCCAGCTGGAAAATGGGTAAAGTATACAAGTAGTCAATTCACCAAAGAGGAAATAAAAGGTGCCAGGTTTTTTTTTTTTTTTTTTGCTTATCAGATTGGCAAGAGGGAAGAATGTTAATAATAATCTTGGCAAAGTTGTGGGGAAATGAGCACCTCTGGTCCGTGATGGTGGGGTGTGAGTAGGAATAGCTACTTTTGAGAGCAGTTTAATAGTCTTTATTAAAATAATGTACACACCCAATGTGTTGTTAAGGAATTTTACCAAATGGATGAGACACGGTGGCGGGTAATCAGTTCTAGGATAAAGGATTTTTAGATGGATTTATCTGATATGTTTTTGAAGACAAATTGTTAGGTTTAAAAAACCCAAATGGGGGGCTGGGGATGTGGCTCAAGTGGTAGCCCGCTCCCCTGGCAGGCATGAGGCACTGGGTTCGATCCTCAGCACCACATAAAAATAAAATATTGTGTCCACCTTAAAAATAATAATAATGTGTATGTGTAGTTTCACCAAACAGCCTTAAAAAAAAAAAATGGTGCCGCTTTCTACTCCCATCCCTGACAAAAACATGTTAATATTTGTAAGTAAATTTAGAATGACTGATTTAGAGAAAACTCAGACTGCAATGGCAACAATAAAAACTGAAGTCTTTGGAGGAATCTGTATGGTAAGGGCTTCCCTTTGCCACAATAGATGGACAGATGGACGCAGTACCAACCAGAACCCAGCAAGGGGGCCTTTGCTTCTGCCTTTTCCCCTAGAAGGTTACAATATTATTGTGAAATTCAAGGAATGTAAAAGTGGGTAAGGGCTGAGGGTGTGGGTAAGGGCTGGGGGTGTGGCTGAGGGGTAGAATGCCTGCTGAATATGTCCAAGGTTCCCAGCAGCAACACACGCACACACAGAGTGAATAGTTAGCAGGGATGTTAAACAGTATCCTGAAAAAGAAGAGAGCAACCTGAGTGGCTAGAAGTCAACTTAGAGGAGGAGCCGTCTGTGCTGGCTCATGGTTGCGGGCTGCATGGCTTGGGCCTGTGGTGAGCCAGAGCACAGTGGCCGGGTGTGTGGTGGAGCACAACTGTCGGCCACGGCAGCCAGGAAGAGAGAAAGACAGGGGCCAGGGACAAGGTGTGGTCCCCCACGGCGTGCACCCAAGGACCCACGTCCTCCAACTAGGTTCACCCGCTGCAGTCCCACCACCTCCCAATAATCCATTCAGCGGTGAGTCCCGGGAGCCAGCCCTCATGTCCAGTCCCTCTGAGCACTGCTGTCCCGGGGAAGAAGTCTTCAACACACGAATCTCTGGGGGACATTTCAGATCCAGCCATAACAGCCAGCAGCGTGTGCGCCACAGCAGGGGACTCCTGAGGCCCACAGGCAGGCGTGTCCGCCGGGCTCCTGCCCTCCACGGCCCTGCAGCTGCTGGCTGGGCGCACCGCGGTCCCTCCCCACACCTAACTGTCCCTGTGTGCCGTTTCTCTGCAGGCCCAGGCCTTGTCCTCTGCCAGCAAGTTTGAAGCCGAATTAAAAGCTGAGCAAGATGAGCGGAAGCAGGAGGAGGAGAAGAGAAGGCTCCGCCAGGCAGCCTTCCTGGAACTCAAGGCTGCATTCAGCGCATAGTCCAGCAGACCCTGACCTCCGCCCACAGCGGTGCCTCCACGGTGCCAGGAGGGATGGCCCAGCATCTTTACCCCTGCAGGCCCCTCCCAGCCTCCTGCCTGGCCCCAGGCCTCTCCTCAGCCTCACTTGGGTGGCAAGGGGCTGCCGCCCCCCCACTGTCCTGCCCCTGCAAGAGGGTCATGGGATGGCCAAGTCCCCCTTGCTCACCTCTCTGCCCTCCCCTGAAGCCGGGTTCAGCCTTCCCCTTCCCTTGCTCCACGCCAGTGAGTAGCCTGTTGTGCTCATTTGTATAGAAATTCTTTCTTTTGTGGTCCTCAGAGGACATGTTAGCTCGCCATTTTCTTGGGAAATCCTTCTCTCCTCCCATTTCTGTTGTCTTTCTTGGTCAGATTCTGCCAGTTGCTTTTGTGTGGCCTTCTGTAGTGGTGGCAGGATCCAAGGAGGCCAGGTGGACCACTGCCCACCCGCTCTCCAGCACGGGGAGCTGCAGCAGGAGAGGACTCAGCATAAAGACGGGGAGCACTGGCCTGCAGCACCCCCCTGGCCCTCCCTCTTCATTCCCCTCCTGCGTGTCTCCCTCCTTCTGTCTTCCACACCTAAGTGCCTGCTACTCACCTGTGAGAAGGAAGCCATCACTAGAAGTACTGCTAATGAGTAGAGGGGTTCCAGGTCAACTCTAACTCTGCAGATCATATCACAGTGGACCCCTCAGGTTCCCACGAGGTCAGGGACCCAACCAGTGCCTTTTGAAATCCCCAAAGTCATGGCCATCCTCTCCATCGAGCCAATTTCCAACATCTGCTTCAAGGTATTGAGGTAAATATGTTCTTACCCCTATGATAGATTTTTATATTTGTGAGTTCTTGGGATTGCTCACACGGACCAGGGTCTTGTTGTATTTTTAAAAAGAATATTTCCTATTGTCATATTTATTACTTCTCTTTTGCAACTTCTCTCTTTAGGATAAAGAAACCATCTGCATTTCTACCTTAAAGCTCTTTCTTTTTAAATAAACTGTGCAAATGAACTTGGCCATCACAACAATGTACCTGAGTCTTCTTTGACTTTAGGAGGAAGAAGCATGTGTTCTATGGGGGCCAAGTCCAGCCCTGGGCTTCTGTTGACAGGGATTTCCTGTAGCATAGTTAGGAACGGGAACTGGAGGGAGGATTTTCACTGGAAGTTCGGGATACTAGGATTGTCGGCTACTCTCCCCTGCACCTCCTTCACACCAGCGAGCGTGCTTCCAGCCACTGGTCATATCTCTAGCTTAATCCTTTTGCTTCTAGACCCCTTGAAATGCTGACAAGGTCAGTGCCTCTCCCAGGTATGATATCAGGATGCTCAGGCCACCTGTGTAAGGACCCAGGCCTTAAGGGAACACCCTTTGCTCTCCCAGAGGATCAGTCTATTTCTGCACCAACCCATAACCTACCATTCTCAAACATTGTTTTTCTACCTAGTGTCACATTCCAAATCTCTTCATCAGAGGGGAGGGCCCAAAAAGAATAGAGAGGTCCTTAGCATATGATCCAGCTACTGTGCTCCTTCAAATTTACCCAAGGGAGAGAGTGGGGTTTGGTGGTACAAGCCTGTAATCCCAGAAAATTCTAGGGTGGAGACAGGAGGATTACAAATTCAAAGCCAGTCTGGGCAATTTAGCATGACCCTGTTTTAAAATAAAAAATGAAAAGGGCTGGGAATATGGCTGGGTGTGGCAGTGTACACCTGTAATCCTAGCAACTGGGGAGGCTGAGGCAGGAGGATCTCTAGTTCAAGACCAGCCTCAGCAACTTAGTGAGACCCTAAGCAACTTAGACCCTGTCTCAAAATAAAAATAAATAGATAGGTCTGGGGATGTGGCTCAATGGTTAAGCACCCCTGGGTTCAATTTCTGGTACCAAAAAAAAAATAATAATAACATAAAAGGATTTAGGACATATATTGGGTCAGATAACCAAAAAAACCAGACGTACACTGCCCTTGTTCCCATCTGGTCATGACATCCTGCCGAAGTTGCTCCCACCTATGGTTCTGTTAGTAGCTTTGTATCGCTATGACTGAAATAAGTAACAGAAACAACTTAAAGGAGGAAAAGTATATTTTGGCTCATGGCTTCAGAGGTTCTGTGGGTCAATTCCACTGTTCTGGGCCCACGGAGAGCCAGATCATGGCACAAGGGCAGGATGATGTGCTGCTCCATTCACGGCAGCCAGGAGCATAGAGAGGAAAGGAAAGGGGCCGGGAAGGGGAACCCTTCCAGCGCCCCCTCTCAGTGCCCCAGCCCCTCCCCATCTGCCTATGGTTACCACCCAGTGAGTCCCTTCAAACCAGGATGTACGGCGGCTTAGGTTACAGTTCTCGCTATCCAGTCATCTCACCTCCAAATATTCCCGCACGAACCCAGGAGCTTTGGGGGGACACTGCAGATGCAAACCATAACAGGTTCCCGCTTCCACTCCAAGGACAACTCTTCCTGGCTCCTTTCCTGGGTCTCTGCAGGGACCCAATGTTTCTCTACCCTCATTTGCCCTGACTGACCACCTTGCAGTTGGAATCATCTTCATAAAATGCAAATCTCATCCTAACATCTTCTCTTCCATTTTTGATTCCCACTCTTCAGATCTGGGGCCTACTGGCCTTGCCCCACCTCCTGCTCCTCCCTCTCTCCCTCTGTCCTGGGAACAGGGACTTTACAGCAGCGCACAGCAGCTCCTGGAAGGTGCCACCCCCTCAGCCCCTTGCACACGCTGCTTCTTCTGATTGGCACTCCCTCCCTCTCTCCTCCTCCCTCCCATGGCAAACTACTCCTGAGAGTATCATCAGGAAGCCCTCGTGGTGCCCCCATGCTGGACAAGGAGCCCCGTCCAGGGTTCCCATTTCCCCTTGAGATTGTCCCTCTTGCAATCCTACAGCAGCATTCAGTATCCCGCTCCTGACTCCTCTGCCTTCTTGTTTGAACCATGAACCCTTCTGTGGACATGAGCTTGGCCTTGCCCACTGCCGGAGGCCTAGTGTGTTGCCTGGCATGTCACAGTCCCTGCATGTTGACTTCACAAGAATGTGATGGGATTTTTCAGCAGAGAGGGATGGGAAAGGCAGGATTCCTGACCACTGGTGTCAGAAAGCTTATTTTTTAAAATTTATTTTTGTGGTACTGAGAAGTTAAGCCAGGGGTGCTCTATCACTGAGCTATATCCCCACCCCTTTTTATTTTTTATTTTGAGACAGGGGGGTCTCATTAAATTGCTTAGGGCCTTGCTAAATTGCTGAGACTGGCCTTGGACTTGGTTTCTTCCTGCCTCAGCCTCCCGAGTTGCTGAGATTGCAAGTATGCACTACTGACATGACTGATGTCAGCAAACATCTAAGCACTTTAGATTCTATAATGGAATACCTGAAGGTGGGTAACTTTATTTTAAAAAAGAGGTTTTACTGGCTACTGTGGCAGAATGGGAATGATTCCATGCCTGGCATATGATCAGTGCTCGGGTACACATGGGTCTCCTTTCTATCCACCACTCTCTCTTTCGGTCCAAGCTACAGTGACCCAGAAATGTTCAGTCCTGGATGCTGTCTTGACCCCGAGGGCAGATGTCCACTTACCTAGTTTTTTGGGGCTCTTTGCTAACCAGCCCAGGGAGACTCCTACCCATGTGTCTGCTCACCTGCCGTGACCCTGCAACTGGCAATTGCTGAGCTTGCTGGGTCTGATCATGGGAACTGGTGCTTTTGACCTTGTCTCCTTGCTGTCCACCAGGCCAGATTTTGGCCCATTTCTGCCCACCTGGCCAATGGTTCCAGAGATATCCTCTGGGTCCTGTAATGGCCATGGGGTCCTCAGGGGCCCATTTAGGGTTCTCCAGCCTGGGGAGGTGTGGAGGATGGAAACTCATTAAGGGTAGTTACCCTGCTTTCCTCCAGTGTTGTCAGAAACCAGTCACTTTTGTGGTACTGGGGATTGAACCCAGGGCACACCATGCTGAACTATATCTCCAGCTCCCCCCCTTTTAAAAATTTTTTTTTTTTTATTTTTTTTAGTTTTCAGTGGACACAACATCTTTATTTGTATGTGGTGCTGAGGATCAAACCCAGCGCCGTGCATGCCAGGCAAGAGCGCTACCGCTTGAGCCACATCCCCAGACCATAAATATATATATTTATTTTAGTTGGTGCTGAGACTCGAACCCAGGGCTTCACACATGCTAGGCAAGTGCTCTACCACTGAGCCACAACCCCAGCCCTCCTTTTTTAATATTTATTTTTTAGTTGTAATTGGACACAATACCTTCATTTTATTTATTTTATGTGGTGCTGAGGATCGCACCCAGGGCCGCACACATGCGAGGCAAGTGCTCTACCGCTGAGCCACAACCCCAGCCCCATCTCCAGCCCTTTTTATCCTACGTTGCCCAGGCTAACCTAGAATCTTCCTGCTTCAGCCTCCTGAGTAGCTGAAATTATAGGTGTGTACCACAGCCCCTGGCCTGCTGTTGCCTTTTTGAAGGACAATTTGGTGGACCATTAACATTAAAAAGTATATCTGTAAGCCAGGCATGGTGGCACATGCCTGAACCCTGTTCCTAGAGGCTGAGGCAGGAGGATGGAAGTTTAAGGCCAGACTGGGCAACTTAGCAAGACTCTGTCTCAAAATAATAATTTACTAAAGGGCTAGGGATATAACTCAGTGGCAGAGTGCTTGCCTAGCATGTGCAAGGCCTAGGGATCAATCCCTAGTACTAACAAAATCAAAAACAAATTGTATCTGTGTTAGTTACTTATTTTTGCACTAACAATTCACCTAATGACTTAGTTACTTAAAATAATGATTAGCATGTATTATCTCACACAATTTCTGAGGGTCAGGAATTCAGAAGTAGTTTAACTTGGGTGGGTCTGGCTCAGGGTCTCTCATGGGGCTGCCATCATCTGAGGGCTTCACTGGGGCTGGAGAATGGCTTACTTCCAAGGTGGTTCAGTCACAGGATTTGCAAGTTAGTGCTGGCTGTTGGCGAGAGGCCTCAGTTGCCTGCCATGCCACCCTCTCCAGGGGGCCGCTTTGTGTCCTCACACCATGACAGCTGCCTTCCCCCAGAGCAAGTGCTACTGAAGCCAGATTTGAGGACAGGTAGTTAGTGTAGCTAGGTAAACCGGGTCTAATATCCAGGAAGATAAATAAAATGGAGGCCATTATAGAGAATGGAGTCCAGGAAAGCAGAGCAGCACTCGGGGAATTGAAATGTTACTGTCCCCAAGGCAGGAACCCCTCCTAAGGAACTGTTAATGAAACAGCTCCCAGCAAACAGAGAGGGAAGTGCTAATCAAAAGCCATCCCAGGCCCTTCCTGCCCACCCAGCCCCCACCTTTTGGGCCTTCCCACCTTCATTCCATCACTGCAGGACAGAGGGAAACAAAGGACAGGAGTGTGGAAGGACTAAAAGGTGACCTTAGCTGTGAAAAAGGGAAGACCTCCCCCTTCCACGGATTCTGCCTTTCGGGTCCCTTTCTCCCTCCAGGGAGAAGTCTTTTCTACTGTCCTTTAATAAAGCTTCCACTGTCCACTCTCCACTGGCCTCCGCGGGCTTCTCTGGTGTTATACTTCAGCATTCTGGGAAGCAAGAGAGAGGAACGTGTAGGCCACAGTGTCCTTAATCACACTTGCGGGTTGCATAGGTCAGCATTCTTGGCAAGAATCACTGGGAGCCATCTTGGAGCTGACCACCACAGAATCCATCAGGGCCCTTAAACAAAAGTCACATAATCGAAGGCAGACTGACGTAAGCAGAAGAGAGATTGACTGAAGACACACTGAGGAGCTCCCAGAATCGCTAGCAGGGCTGGGGGGCCGACCTAAGCAAGCAGGCAGGAGGCCAGCTGACGGGTGGCCAGAAAGCACGTCTTGGGAACCAGCCAGGGGTGGTGCTGCTGCCCTGGCTGGCCAGAGCTCTGCAGTGTCCTGCTTCTTCAGGTCGTTTGTTCCAGATTCAGC